CATTCACATCAGAGATCTGTAAGGTGAGAGTAACGCTGCTGAAGAGGGAGGGCACTCCCTCATCAGAACACGTCACTGTTATATTATACTCAGAGTCTTTCTCTCTGTCCAGGTCACTGTCTGTCAACAGGTTAAAGAAATTATTTGATGTGGGCTTTAAAGTAAAGGGAATATGTTCATTAATTGCACAGTGAACTTTACCATTTTCTCCGGAATCTAAGTCCTGAACATTTACCATAGTCACAACTGTTGCTGGCTTAGCGTCCTCGGGAATCATATTAGTCTGTGACATTATATTAATAACTGGAATATTGTCATTAATGTCTATCACTTCAACTGTAATCTTACATGAATCTGTGAGTCCTCCATCATCACTGGCTTGGACATGTATTTGAAAGTAACGCGACTTTTCATAATCCACATTACTTTTCGAGATCAAATCGCCATTTAATTCATTAATCTCAAACATGTCTCGTACATCTGCAGCTGTGTTGGATATTGAATACGTAATCCCGGCATTTGATCCTTTATCAGCATCTGAAGCACTGACCCTGGTTATGACTGTACCTTTAGGGGCGTTCTCAGGTATTGCAGCTTTATAGACAGTCTTTGTAAAGACAGGTGCATTGTCATTAACATCAAGCACTGTAACGTGTATCTGTGCTGTGCCAGATAGCTTTGGCTCCCCTCCGTCCACCGCAGTCAACACTAGAAATATCTCCTCTTCCTTTTCTCTATCAAGTGATTTTTGTAAAATCATTTCCACTATCTTTTCTCCATCGGGCTGATCTTTCAGTATGAGAGCGAAATTCTCGGTTTTAGTCAGAAAATAACTCTGCAGACTGTTCATGCCAACATCGGGATCTATTGCCCTCTCTAACAGGAATTTTGCTCCCGTTACAGCAGATTCACTTATTTTGAATTTCATGTCAGATTTTTCAAATAAAGGCGTGTTATCATTTATATCTGTGATTTCGACAGCAACTGTGTAAAATTCCATAGGATTTTCTAATATAATCTGAAAATGCAAAGCGCAGGGCGTCGTCTGTCCACAGAGCGCCTCTCTGTCTATTTTCTCTTTGATAAGGAGGACTCCTCGCTCTCTGTTCAGCTCGATGTACTCTGCGCTGTCTCCTGTAAAAATCCGAGCTTTGCCTGATGTTAATCTTTTTCTATCTAAACCTAAATCCTGAGCAATGTTGCCGATTAATGACCCCTTTGCCATTTCCTCAGGAATGGAGTAGCTGACCTGCCCCAGCACCGATGTGAGAGAAAGGATTGAGATAAACAATAGCACTTGCCACCTCATTGTTCTGTCCGGCATTTCCATGCAACGCGAATCCCGTTTTAGTCCCGTTTCCGTTGAAAAAAGAGATACGATGTATGTCCTCTGTATATAAAACAATTTTAATCAGTCACTGAATTACAGTTAACTGCAGCTGTCCGCGTCAGTGAGACTGCTCTCTCCTCTGTAACATTCGCACTGCGTGTCTGTTGTCCTTTGATTTAAGAGAAAAGAAGAAGAAAATGGAGGAGGTACTGCTGAAACCTGTCCTACAGTTATCACAGACTGGCCAACAGCGGCCCTGCGAGTTCAGTCTGATGTATTACACAAGCCTAAGAAAATGGAAAAGTATTGAAGCCCATCAGCTGGTAGAGACACCAGGTGCATTTCAGCTATTTACCCTCAGAGCACTTTCAAACGAACGTTGAGAATGAAATTTAACTTTAAATGCACGACACTCGATGAGAGAGCTGCATTTTAAGCCATCATTACGTTGGTGCAAATACTTAATAAATACAGGTCTAACCTCGTTTCAAGAAATGCCATTTCTATTTATAGAAACACACACACAACGAATGCCGATAGATCCACATATCGCAGAATGTGTCATAAGGCGCTGTTAGTGGCAAAATTGGTAATATTTAAGATACACTACCAACAATGGGCAACATGAAAGTCATGAACACATCGAGGTTATATAGCAATAAAATATCAAGTAAATCAAATACAATAGGCTATACATCTCTTAACTGTTCTGTTTAATGTTGTGAAATTAAATCAAAATAATCCTAAATCTCATCAAAACCTAATTTGGTAGTGCTTAAAGAATATAAAAATAAAATGAAATCTGTCTATTAAAACTACTGTCCACTGAAATATACAAAGTTCAGATACTTAAAACTAGATGTCTTTTCTTCAACTGATGAGATGCGTTACATGTAAAAGACTGTTAATTTCTAACCTCTAGAGGAGAGTCAGGTTCATCCAGGATGCTCTTGTCACTCTGTAGCCGCTGCATCGTCCCTGTAGAACTGGGGTCCATTATCAGCNGAAAATGTTTTCAATGCAAACACTTAACTTATATATTGGAATTTACAGACTAAAGGAAGACAACCTTAAGATTCGTCATGTTGAGTGTTTAAGTCACTGTAGTAATATATTTAAAGATAACAGTTCAACATCCAGGGACACTGTGCTGATCAGATGTTGCATATGTATCAGGAGTCGAGGTGGATTTAACATCAAGTTAAAAGACTGGGAAGGTAAAAATATCTCTTACAAATATAATGTGTTTTACGTAATGATGCTGACTAACAAATAATCAGAAAAAGACAGAAAGAGTCAGATATTTAAACTGATGAAACAGCTGCTGACAGACAGTTTAAACATGCATGTCGCTGTCCGCGGTTCTGAAGTGAATCAATTCTGTATGAGACCAAAAACTCCCAGACTGAAGGTGTTGTTAGAAGAACGTGATGTCACATAACGCTGTTGGAACATTCTTTGAAAACCTTTCTGCGAAAAATAATTTTAGAACGAGTATTGTGACTGNTCGTGTCGATTATCAGATATTTCATATATCCCGAAAGTGCGTCCTTTCCCGTCGTGTTCTCTCATCATTATGGTGATGTTACAGGGGAGGTGCTGCTACAAACCTACCCTCAGCCGTGCACACTCTGGTCAACAGCGGCCCTAAGAGTTCATAATACAAAACTGCAGACAACCAACATGAGATTATCTGTCCAGAAGCTTACTGTTATACAAGTGTATCTTGAAATGAGGTAATAAAAGCCGTATAAATACTACTATAATCTGCGCAAAAGTAGGTCGACACTTCAACAAAGATTGTGTTCTCTTACTATTGCTTTTATCTTCAGCCATAATAATGTGTTTATAAAACATGAACCACATGTGACTACAAGAACAAAGAGAAAAAAATCAAATAATTTAGAAAATAATAAGGAAAGTACAACTAAAAGATTGAAGTGATACAAAAGGAAAATGGAGAAGAAAAAGAGCTGAGTCTACAAAAGTCACTGTCCGAGGTCCTGAACTGATAACGAGGCTAAAACCGGCCAACAGGACGGATTGTCACAAGTCCTTAAACGCAGATAAAAATATTGCTAAATTCAACCTAAGAAAATAAAGCGTGAACTGATGTTAAAATACATTCGTTGTCTTTATGAATCAATGTGTTTAACAATAAGTCAGTAAATACTTGGGTTGTATGCTCAGAATGCATTAACATAAAATTATCTAAATACCTAAATAGTTCATAAGATATTGATTTAAAAACCCTAACCAAAACTCATCCAAAAGCCAGATGACTGACTCAACGCAAGATTACCGACAAAAAGGAACAATAAAACATATAAAGTAGAAATTAAGATCGATAGAACTATTAAGTGAAACAGGTAGGTAATGGATAGAAATGGGAGTTCAAACATGCCGTACCCCATTATTTGTTACATAAAGCCAAACAAGGTGTGCTATTAAAACGGTCTGTACGTATATGGTTAAACAGTTTAACCCTTAAAAACAAATAGCAGTCTGCTTTAACATACAATGCAACTAAGTCACAGTAAAGTGCATGTGGAATACTGTAACAATCTATCACTGAATGATATTGTAGGTAATGAGAAGCTGTCCATGGTTCTGAAACTGCGGAAATAGCGTTCAACAATTTTCTAACAATGCAACTAAACACTGAAAGAACATGACGGCACAAACACGAGGCTACAATATTAAACTAACCTCTAGAGGAGAGTCAGGTTCATCCAGGATGCTCTTGTCACTCTGAATCCGCTGCATCGTCCCTGTAGAACTGGGGTCCATTATCAGCACGTTCTGACTACCGGCTCTGCCGAACTTACAGTCACTCTTTCTGGAGTCTGTCGTCCTGCACACCTCGTAATTGTACACGTGTTGGAGAGTCCCTGTCCCCAAAGTGTCTGAGTAACGTGGTGGATAATATGGAATGACAGGGAGACTGGAGTGATACAGGATGCGAGACTGTCTCCATCTGTAGATTTTCACTGATATAATAACCACCAAACACGTGATGAAGAGGAAGGAAACTACAGCCAAAGCCAAGACTAAGTAAAAAGTCAGGTTGTCATTGTACTCCTTGTCGTGTGCAAAGTCAGTGAACTCAGACAGCACTTCAGGGAAGCTGTCCGCCACCGCCACGTTAACAATGACTGTAGCTGAACGAGAGGGCTGCCCGTTGTCCTCCACTATAACACTCAGTCTTTGTTTGACAGCATCTTTATCAGTCACTTGGCGGATAGTTCTTATTTCTCCATTCTGTAAGCCCACTTCAAACAGCGCCCTGTCTGTGGCTTTCTGCAGTTTATAGGACAGCCAGGCATTCTGTCCAGAGTCCACATCAACAGCCACCACTTTAGTCACCAGATAGCCCACATCTGCTGAACGAGGCACCATTTCAGCCACCACAGAGCCACCAGTCTGCACTGGGTACAGCACCTGAGGAGGGTTGTCGTTCTGGTCCTGGATCAGTATTTTCACACTCACGTTGCTACTGAGTGGAGGGGAGCCTCCATCCTGCGCTTTGACGCGGAAGTGGAAGTCTTTGATCTGCTCGTAGTCAAAAGAGCGCACTGCATGGATGACTCCACTATCAGCACTGACGGACACATATGAGGAGACTGGCACTCCGTTAACAGAGGAGTCCTCCAGTATGTAAGAAACACGGGCATTCTGGTTCCAGTCAGCGTCTCTGGCTTTCACTGTGAATATAGAGAGGCCTGGTGTGTTGTTTTCTACAATGTAGGCCTCATATGAGCTCCTCTCAAAGACAGGCGCGTTATCATTCACATCAGAGATCTGTAAGGTGAGAGTGACGCTGCTGGAGAGGGAGGGCACTCCCTCATCAGAACACGTCACTGTTATATTATACTCAGAGGATCTCTCTCTGTCCAGATCACTGTCTGTCACTAAACTATAGAAATTATTTGTTGATGTTTTTAAAATGAATGGCACGCTATCGCTGATAAAGCATTTCACCTGACCGTTCTCTCCTGAGTCTAAGTCCTCAATATTTATCATTGTAACCACTGTATTGAGTTTGGCATCTTCTGATATCACATTTGACTTCGACATTATGTTAATTTCAGGTTTGTTGTCATTTACATCTTGAACATCGACAATTAATTTACAAGAATCTGTGAGTCCTCCATCGTCACTAGCAAGTAAATTTATTTTAAAGTGTCTCGATTTTTCGAAGTCAATGTCGCCAATCAAAATAACTTCACCATTTTCCCTGTCTATCTTAAAGACTTTCCTGACATTTTCTAAAGTATTTGTAATTGAATAAGTTATTTTACCATACGAACCTTCATCTGCATCTGAGGCTGTAACAGTGGCAACAACTGTTCCTTTAGGTGAGTTCTCAGTAACTGTAGCTTTGTATGTTGGCTGTGTAAAAACGGGGGCATTATCATTAGCGTCTAAAACTGTAATAACAATCAGCATTGTTCCTGACATCTGCGGCTCTCCTCCATCTACAGCCGTCAACACGAGAGAGATCTGCTCCTGTTTCTCTCTGTCTAAAGGCTTCTGTAACACCATCTCAACATTTTTATTTCCATCAGCGTTGCTGTGGACTTTAAGAACAAAATTATCTGTTGGTTTTAATTCGTAATTTTTAACACCATTATTGCCAACATCAAGATCTACAGCCCTTTCCAAGACGAATTTTGCTCCGGTGATCGCTGACTCGCTTATTCTAAATGTCATTTCATTTTTTTCAAAGGTTGGTGCATTATCATTAATATCTGTGATCTGAACAGTAACCGTGTAAAACTCCATAGGATTCTCCAAAATGATCTGAAAATGTAAAGCACACAGCGCCGTCTCTGTACACAGCACCTCTCTGTCGATTCTGTCTTTGACGAGGAGGACTCCTCTTTCTCTGTTCAGCTCGATGTACTCGTCGCTGTTCCTCGTATAGATCTTCGCTTTACCTGATATCAGTCGTTTTATTTCTAACCCTAAATCTTGGGCTATATTGCCCACTAAAGAGCCTTTCGCCATTTCCTCAGGAATAGAGTAGCTGACCTGCCCGATCACTGAGTGGAGGGAGAGGAGAGAGAAAAACAACAGTACTTGCCGATTCATTGTTCTACCCGATTTTTTTCCCCACAGTGAGGCTCCACAGTCCGCTTATATTCCACACAGAAACTGATATCACCAATGATGAATCTCAAACTCAAACTTGTATAATCCACCCATGATCAATAAATCTCTTGCAGATCGAATTTTCTCCTCTTATTTTTCGAAAATATTCCACAGCCACAATTGTCCGTCCTTTCCCGTCGTGTTCTCTCTGTACTGTGACGATGTTACATGGGAGGTGCTGCTACAACCCTGTTGTGATTCATCAACACTCTGGTCAACAGCGGCCCTAAGAGTCCATATTACAAAACTGCACAACACCGACTGAATTCAACTCAGGAGAACTCACTGTACACCAGCTGGATTTTTTTAAACACAAACACTTAACTCATATATAGGAATTTACAGACGACAACAGGAAGACAACTCTATGATTCATCATGTTTACTGTCTGGGTCATTGTGATAATATATTTAAAGATAACAGAATCAGAGACACATTGCTGATCAGATGTTGTAGATGTATCAGGACTCACGGTGGATGTGATATCAAATTGAAAAACCGAAAGGGAAAAATGTCTCTTAAATTAAAAAATTGGGTTTTTACATAATGATCATTACTAACAAATAATGACAAAAACAGAGATAGAGATATTTAAACTTATGAAACAGCAGTTAAAAGACAGGTTAAATATGCTGCTGTATGTATGTCGCTGTCCGCGGTGCTGAAGGGAATCAACTCTGAATGAGACCCCAAACTCCCAGACTGTTGCTACTGTTAAAATAACGTGATGCCATACAACGCTGTAACATTTGGGACATCCTTTATTATCTTTATATTAAAGTAATTATACAACGACTAATCCTACTGTTGCTAATACAGCTACAACAACAAAAGCAAACACAACAACTACTTCGATTACTACTGTTAACTACTATTATTATATCATAAGAACAATAAGTCGTGTCTTTTAAGAATATAAGTTGAGAATAAATGTATTTGAAATTCCTCTGGGACATGAACACGTGATGTAAACCCATAGATCATACAACTCAGTCCCTGAACGCATCATTCCCCTTTGACCGGTATGCTCTCCTGTTTGCTATACTCAAATGAAATTTAAAAAAAAAAAGTTATGTAACATTAATAAGGCTTCGTTTTAAATAAATGGGGATTTACTGAAACAATATAAAAGCAGTAAAACATCTAGAGGAAGACCTGTTTGCTTAAAATACTGTCCACTAAAAATCTACAAATTTTATATGCTATATATATACATGTTTTGTGATGTGTTGCGTTAGATGTAAAATTCAATGTAAAAGACCGTTAATTTCTAACCTCTAGAGGAGAGTCAGGTTCATCCAGGATGCTCTTGTCACTCTGTATCCGCTGCATCGTCCCTGTAGAACTGGGGTCCATTATCAGCACGTTCTGACTACCGGCTCTGCCGAACTTACAGTCACTCTTTCTGGAGTCTGTCGTCCTGCACACCTCGTAATTGTACACGTGTTGGAGAGTCCCTGTCCCCAAAGTGTCTGAGTAACGTGGTGGATAATATGGAATGACAGGGAGACTGGAGTGATACAGGATGCGAGACTGTCTCCATCTGTAGATTTTCACTGATATAATAACCACCAAACACGTGATGAAGAGGAAGGAAACTACAGCCAAAGCCAAGACTAAGTAAAAAGTCAGGTTGTCATTGTACTCCTTGTCGTGTGCAAAGTCAGTGAACTCAGACAGCACTTCAGGGAAGCTGTCCGCCACCGCCACGTTAACAATGACTGTAGCTGAACGAGAGGGCTGCCCGTTGTCCTCCACTATAACACTCAGTCTTTGTTTGACAGCATCTTTATCAGTCACTTGGCGGATAGTTCTTATTTCTCCATTCTGTAAGCCCACTTCAAACAGCGCCCTGTCTGTGGCTTTCTGCAGTTTATAGGACAGCCAGGCATTCTGTCCAGAGTCCACATCAACAGCCACCACTTTAGTCACCAGATAGCCCACATCTGCTGAACGAGGCACCATTTCAGCCACCACAGAGCCACCAGTCTGCACTGGGTACAGCACCTGAGGAGGGTTGTCGTTCTGGTCCTGGATCAGTATTTTCACACTCACGTTGCTACTGAGTGGAGGGGAGCCTCCATCCTGCGCCTTGACGCGGAAGTGGAAGTCTTTGATCTGCTCGTAGTCAAAAGAGCGCACTGCATGGATGACTCCACTATCAGCACTGACGGACACATATGAGGAGACTGGCACTCCGTTAACAGAGGAGTCCTCCAGTATGTAAGAAACACGGGCATTCTGGTTCCAGTCAGCGTCTCTGGCTTTCACTGTGAATATAGAGAGGCCAGGTGTGTTGTTTTCTACAATGTAGGCCTCATATGAGCTCCTCTCAAAGACAGGCGCGTTATCATTCACATCAGAGATCTGTAAGGTGAGAGTGACGCTGCTGGAGAGGGAGGGCACTCCCTCATCAGAGCATGTCACTGTTATATTAAATTGGGAGGCAACCTCCCTGTCTAATTCACTGTCTGTCACTAAAGTAAAGAAATTATTCGAGGTTGACGTGATTGTAAAATGAATATTTTCATCTAAAAGGCAGTGAACTTTGCCATTTTCATCTGAATCTGGATCCTGAACGTTCATCATTGTCAGAACTGTGCCTGGTTTAACATCCTCAGATATACTGGATGACGTTGACATTATATTGATAGACGGTGGGTTGTCATTTGTGTCCAGCACCTCAATTATAACTTTACATACATCTGAATTGCCACCTTCATCAGAGGCTTGGACATCTATCTCATAATGTCTAAATTTCTCATAATCAAGTTTCCCCACTAACGTGAAAACCCCGTTTTCTTTATCTATATCGAATAATTCTAGCGCCCCTTTTGGAGCATTAGAAATTGAATATCTTATGTGCCCGTGTGGTCCTTCGTCTGCATCAGATGCACCCACCGTGGTTAGAACAGCTCCTTTCAACGCATTTTCTTTCACATTAGTCTTATATTCTGCTTGAGCACAAACAGGTGCATTATCGTTTGCATCCAGCACAGTTATGACAATTAATATGGTTCCAGAGAGTTGTGGGTCGCCACCATCTAAAGCAGTCAATACTAAAGACAACCGCTCCTGTTTCTCTCGGTCAAGATGCTTCTTTAAAACCATCTCAACATTTCTACTGCTGCCAATTCTATAAGGGTTTAAAATGAATGTGTCACTTGTGCTGAGAGAATAGCCCTGGAGCCCATTAATACCCACATCATCGTCAGCAGCCTTTTCGAGGACAAATTTCGATCCAATTTGAGCCGTCTCACTAATTTCAAATTTCATTTCACTGTTTTTAAAACCAGGTGAGTTGTCGTTAATGTCGGTGATCTCGACAGTGACGCTGTAAAACTGCATGGGATTCTCCAAAATGATCTGAAAATCAAGAGCACAGGGCGTCGTCTGCCCGCAGAGCGCCTCTCTGTCTATCCGCTCTTTGATAACAAGGACTCCTCTTTCTTTATTCAGCTCGATGTATTCTGTACTTTCTCCGGTATATATACGAGCCTTCCCTGATTTCAGCCGCTTCACATCTAAACCTAAATCCTGTGCTATGTTACCGACCAAAGATCCTTTCGCCATTTCCTCAGGAATGGAGTAGCTGACCTGCCCAACGACCGAGCTTAGAGAAACAACCCAGATAAACAGCAGCAGCCCTACTTGCCGTGGCATTGTTCTGGCCGACATCCTCCCGTCCACAAAGAAAGCGATAACAAATACGTTATCCAGTCAGAAGATTTTAGACACAAATGTCAGTAAATCAATCCAGAATCCACACTCCCAGGAAGGCTGATAATCCGCGTGTATCTCCTTGTTTGATTATCTCCCTCTTCTGAAACGTGCCGTCACATCGTCTCTTTCTCTGTAACATTTCGAGATGATGGGGGAGGTACAGCTGCAATGAGCTGTGACATCTCAGCACACTGGTCAACAGCGTCCCTGTGAGTTGGATGCACTGAACTACACATCACAAAGAGTTTCCTCATTTTTATGGCGTTGATCATTTTATGTTCAAATATGCATATTTGAACTCGCAGCATTATTAACATGTTAATAATGCTGCGATGATGATAAATATTATAACAAATAATTAAGTGAAATGTAACTAACACACACAGAGAGAGAGAGAGAGAGAGAGAGAGAGAGAGAAAGAGAGAGAGAGAGTGTCAGTCAGCTGGTCCTGAGGCTCACCTCCTCTAACAGCACAAGGCCTCAGGACAACCCTCATACAATCCAGCACAACCACATTATAGCTAAAGAAGAAGAAAACTACATCAACTATTAGACAACTACCACATGAACCCAAAACAAACTTCAATGCTATTTGGCCCTAAACAGGTGGTTCATGATGGCAAACTATGTGACCTCTGTGACAGATCAGAAACCAGGAAAGATACTGACTATGTACAGACTTAGTGATCACAGCCTGGACATAGAGACCTGCAGACACAGGCAGACCTGGCTACACAGAGAAGACAGGTTGTGTCAGCTCTGTCTTCAGAGACAGGTGGAGACAGAGCAACACTTCCTGCTATAATGCAGCACATATGAAGACATGAGAACAAAGTTTTTTTCAGAAATTAAATGTAAAGTCCATGATTTTGATTCACTCTCTGACCAGACTAAAATGCAACATACTTGGAGAAAGTAGTGTCAGCGCCATAGATGCAGCAAGATATGTCAGTGCATGTCGCAGCCTAAGAGACAACCAACACAACAACATGTAGTTCACCTCATCAAAGATCACACTATGCCTTGTTATTTACTTCTTCACTTAGTGCATTTTTTCTTTAAAATTTATGTCTATGCATTTATAATAATGCATTGTTATTAATTGTTTTTTGAAGTTTTACTGTCTTAAACTATAATTGTACTTTGGCAACACATAAGAAATGTCATGCAACTAGAGCTAATTGTATTGAATTGAGAACCAGCTTTATGACCACACAGAAGAAAACAGATTGAAAAGGGGAAGATAAACAAAGCAAAACCTCAACAAAGTGTCAGCTGTCCGTGGTGCTGATGCTGACAAGGAAGGCAGAGGCAAGAAAACAGAACTTTTAAAACTTATAGTGTAAAAGTATGTATGCGACCTTAATTTAGATGGACTGAGAATATTTATAAATGTTCAGTTTATGGAGTACATGAGTAGTGGTATTAACGATGCTGCAAAACCCAATGCTTTAATCATATGCAGGTCTAAACAAAAGTAAATATTCTAGAACTGCCACTCTGATTTGAATTACAAAAATACCAAATGCTTATATAACTGACATGACCAACAAAAGCATTTGAATAATAATCTGGTGATTTTTTTTTTTTTTTTTGGATTGACAGCAAATAGCAAAGAGTAAAACTAACACTGACTTGCAGATTCATAAAACTTTATAACAAGACAAAGCCAACCTCTAGAGGAGAGTCAGGTTCGTCCAGGATGCTCTTGTCACTCTGTATCCGCTGCATCGTCCCTGTAGAACTGGGGTCCATTATCAGCACGTTCTGACTACCAGCTCTGCCGAACTTANCACGTCACTGTTATATTATACTCAGAGGATCTCTCTCTGTCTAAATCACTGTCCGTGACAACGGTAAAGAAATTATTTGTTGTTGATTTAATGGCAAAAGGAATATTTTCGTTTAAAACACACATGACCTTGCCGTTATCATTTGAGTCTGAGTCTTGTATATTCAGCATCGTGACAACCGTTCCCGGTTTGACGTTCTCAGACACTGTGTTCGAGTTAGACATGATGTTAATGGACGGCGGGTTGTCATTTGTATCTGTCACGTCCACAATGACTTTACATGCGTCGGATAATCCTCCCTGATCTGACACCTGAACATCGAGCTCATAAAGCCTCCTCTTTTCATAATCTACATTTCCAGATAGAGTCAATACTCCAGTATGTGAATCAATTTCAAAGAGTGCTGCTGCTCCTGACTTTGAAATCGTGTATGTTACAACTCCGTTGTTGCCTTTATCTATGTCTGTAGCTCTTACTGTAGTTATTACAGTGCCCGCAGGAGCGTTTTCTGTAACACTCGCTTTGTATTCTGGTTTTGAACAAACGGGCGGGTTGTCGTTGACATCTAACACAGTTATGCTGATCTGCATTGTCCCTGAAAGCTGTGGTTGACCCCCATCCAGAGCGGTTAATATCAGTGATATATACTCCTGTTTTTCTCGGTCTAATGGTTTATGTAAAACCATCTCCACATGTTTTGTCCCATCGCCTCTGCTGATGGTTTTCAAAACGAAATTATCACTAGGTTTAAGGGCGTAGCTGCTCAAACCGTTCATACCGACATCATCGTCTATTGCTTTCTCTAAGACGAATCGAGCTCCAGTTAGAGCTGATTCGCTGATTTCAAATTTCATCTCACCTCTCTCAAACGTCGGAGGGTTGTCATTTATATCTGTAATTTCGACAGTGACCGTGTAAAACTCCATTGGGTTTTCCAGAATCATTTGAAAATGGAGTGCGCAAGGCATTGTTTGCCCGCACAGAGACTCTCTGTCTATTCTGTCTTTAATGAGGAGGACTCCTTTTTCTCTCTTCAGCTCAATATATTCCTCGGTGTTACCAGTATAAATACGAGCTTTACCTGACTTCAATCTCTCCACGCCTAAACCTAAATCCTGAGCTATATTGCCTATTTGAGCCCCCTTTGCCATTTCCTCAGGAATGGAGTAGCTGACCTGCCCGTGCGCTACATGGAGGGAGAGCAGCGAGAGAAACAACAGCACTTGCCATCCCATCGCTCCGCTCGACACGTCCGTGAAGAAAAATAGAAAATCCTCTGTTTCTTCGACCCAGGTTCCGACTGTGACCCGTATACACGCGTATATGATCCAAAAGATGACACTTATCCTAAATTGTGGAACAAATAAATCCTGCTGTGGGCTCCAGGCTCGTGCTGTGGCAGTCCTGATTGTTAGCTCTGCCTCTGTCTGTTTCCAAATGCAATATATTGAGATATAGGGGAGGTACTGCAACAAATGTGTCCTTAGCAACTCGATGGCCAACAGCGTCCCTGTCTGTTCAATTGACTGAACTACACGGTATCTTACTGCGGCATCTATAATAGAGCCATTTCTAAAACACATTGCAACACAAATACTTTCTTAGACAAATCTGGAGTAATTCACATCTCATAGAGACACTTCAATTCCCCTCTGTCTGCATTACAAGCAGGAGTCAATAATATAAAACAGAACATGAAGCAATTAAACAACCGAACAAAAACATACAAGTAGGCAAAATCTACACAGACACACACAGCTTCATATACCACGGAGTCGGAGCATTACAATGACACAGCTATGGTTTGCGCTGTCTGTGGTGCTGAATGATCAAATGCACTGTGTAAATTAATGATTCCTGTTTCTACTCTGCTACTTGACGTGCATCTATGAATAGTGGTTATGACAAAATAAGCAAATATCTATATGTTTATGCTATTTTTTTGTTGACAAGGATACAGTTGAGACACCAGTCTGATCCCAGCCTGGCCATAGAGACTGGCAGACACATGCAGACCTGGCTGCCTAGTGAAGACAGGCTGTGTCAGCTCTGTCCTCAGAGACAGAGAAACATTTCCTGCTACAATGTAGCACACATGAAGACATCAGAACAAAGTTATTCACAAAATTAAATATGAACTCCAAGATTTTGATTCACTCTCTGACCAGACTAAAATGCAACATCTGCCAGGAGAAAATAGTGTCAGCGCCATAGATGCAGCAAGATGTGTCAGTGCATGTGACAGCTTAAGACACAACCAACACATCATATAGTTCATCTCATCACAGATCACACTGTCCTTTTATTCACTCCTTCATTTAATGATATTTTTCTTCAAAATTCATGTCCATGATTTTGTGCTAATACATTGTTGTTAATTGTTTCTTTAGAAAATAAATTACCAATTATATTCCACTGCAGTTAATTGAATTCGCTGGCTTAAACTGTAATTGTACTTTTGCAACACATATGACATAGATAAATAGATAGATAGATCGATATATGATAGATAGATATCATCTTAAGGCATTTGTGGAGCACTACTGCTTTGTGCGCTGTCCGTGGTGCTAACTAGATCCACCGCAAATTGCACCACACACCATTCCCAACATGCTAATCTGTAATTCAGTGAGCAAACACACCGAATTTAAGACGTCGTAAAAAGTCTAATTCAACGTGTTTCAATAATAGGCTGAAAATTAGCGGGTGACAAAAAATTGTGTTTTCTGCAAAACTAACCTCTAGAGGAGAGTCAGGTTCATCCAGGATGCTCTTGTCACTCTGTATCCGCTGCATCGTCCCTGTAGAACTGGGGTCCATTATCAGCACGTTCTGACTACCAGCTCTGCCGAACTTACAGTCACTCTTTCTGGAGTCTGTCGTCCTGCACACCTCGTAATTGTACACGTGTTGGAGAGTCCCTGTCCCCAAAGTGTCTGAGTAACGTGGTGGATAATATGGAATGACAGGGAGACTGGAGTGATACAGGATGCGAGACTGTCTCCATCTGTAGATTTTCACTGATATAATAACCACCAAACACGTGATGAAGAGGAAGGAAACTACAGCCAAAGCCAAGACTAAGTAAAAAGTCAGGTTGTCATTGTACTCCTTGTCGTGTGCAAAGTCAGTGAACTCAGACAGCACTTCAGGGAAGCTGTCCGCCACCGCCACGTTAACAATGACTGTAGCTGAACGAGAGGGCTGCCCGTTGTCCTCCACTATAACACTCAGTCTTTGTTTGACAGCATCTTTATCAGTCACTTGGCGGATAGTTCTTATTTCTCCATTCTGTAAGCCCACTTCAA